CAGTCATTTTACAGGGGTACCCTGGGCAGCTCGCTGCCTGATGAAATCTAGAGGAGCTGACTCTGCCTGCCTTGTGCTCAGCAGAAGCACCAGCTGAGTGTACCTTTTCTACTGTGCTACTACAAAACAAAATGGAACTTGGTTACACCTCCATCCTTCTGCAAATGTGGCAGAAACTGAGCAGTGAGGCTCAAACTTATTGCAGTGGGACAGACAGTGAAACTCCAGAATGTCACATCTTTAAGAAACAGCTTAAAGTTCACATTTTACCATGAAAGAGTTGTACCACTGAACAAAAGCACATCACAAGAGATTTTCTCTCAGCTCTCAACCCCAGCAGACGGATTAAGGGAACTTTGCCACTTGATACTGTCTAGTGGTGTGCCACAAAGTCGAGATAGTGTGAATAAACTTTCTTTCCTGGTCCAGGTTTTCACTTAACAGTTGCTGACATCCAGCTCTTTGGGCATGACTCTACTTTCTCTGAGGTTTCTGTGCAAGTTTCCTCTCTCTTTGTTTTGACTCCTGTAAACTCCTTTCTTATTCCTGTCCAAAAAGTAATACTCCAACATATTAAGTATACTCATAAAAGAAACACAATATCCTAGTTCCTGTTTATTTTTCTAATTTCTGTCCATAGACTCAAAGCAGAACAGGTGGGTTGTTTTCCCAGTGTACTGTGGGCTTGTTTCAATTCACCTCAAAGATCTGTGTTCTCTTCCACCTGTGATTTCCATTAAAGTAACACTGGCCTGTTCTTCATCATTTTAATCAACCAACTTAAAACTGCCATGACAGCTTTCCCTCTCTAGGGCTCTAACAACTCAACACATTGGGTGGGACTCCTGTCACCTACCTTTAGACATCTACAGTGCAAACACTTCCATTTATGTTGATCAGATGAGTCTGCTATAAGCACTGGAAAAAAATTAAGCACATTCAGGCCACAATCCACCTTGGTTGAAGCAGGAATTGTATCCCCAAAGTCTTAACTCAGAGGCAAAAGTCTACTTGATGGATGTCTACATTGACCAGATAAATAAAAACATCCTTGTCTACTCCACCTCTTACCTTCTGGCTTAATTGCAATCAATCCTGTTTGAAAATTAACTGCTTTCTCTTACACTGTTCTCTATCAACAATTCACAGCCCTTTGAGATGTGCCTTGTGGGAAGGATGTTGACTAAATCTTTCTCAGGGTTCAGACTCTGAAGTTCTTTCCTAGGAGAAAAATTGGTGGATGTGTCATAGTGGTAAATATAATTCCATAAAAATATCTATGCAGAAGAACAATTACTATGTGTGAATGAAAATTAACAGTCTACTGATGCCTTTACTGACTTGTGCATAACTTCCCTTGGAAGGGTAATGTCCATGAATATGTAACATGCACCTTCTTCTCCCTACTGCTTCCCTATTGTTTTTCCCTTTTCATTATTACAGCATTTCTCCATATAGCCTGTAAGACCTTTGGTAAAGAGTTATGTTTGCATCTGAGCATTAAAGCTTATTATGAAGGCACAATAATTCCTGTAGTCTAGTTAAATATAATTGCAATGGGAAAGGAAGACAGAAGTAGAGGGCAGTTCATAATTCATAGACTTCTCACATGATTTCAACCTTCTCCTTGCAGAACTTTGTGGGTGGGAAGATGTTACAAATGAAGCTCTCTGCTACTTTGTGCTAAAAACCTGTGCCAGCCCTCTAGTCAGTGGAATTTATGTAATGATAACCAAATCAATTCAGAAACCAGTTTTGTTAATCTGTCAGAGACCCTAAGAGAGCACAGCTTTAAACTTCTCTGACAGTGTCTGCAATTACTCTAGCTGAAGAGACACTTTTGAACCAAACCTAATGTTCATGGCAAAAGAGTTACATTAATTTCTATCAGCTTCTGATTGAACTGACTAGAATAAATCAGAGTGAGCGGGCACACAATCAGCTCTGCTGGCAGATTTGCAGATTGCTGGAAAGGGCCATGATAAGTCTCTGGGGTCTGGCTGTGAGTAATGCTCTCCTCCACCAACACAGCTGGATCCTGCCTAACCACACTCGCTGACACCCACCATCATCATGTCTTATCCAGAGCTGCTAGGTTTATAGCCTCTTATCCAGACCTGCTAGGTTTATAGCCCCTATCAAAAAATAAAGAAGATGTAAGCCATGAGAATATGCTCAAAGTAGAACAAGCTTCAGTGGCTTGAGGTGTCATCTCCCCTCCCAGCAATTTCCTACCTCCTCTTTGCCTGATATTACTGCCTCACAGCAGAGCTGGTGGAATGAGACACACACACTAGTCCCAGCTGCTTCCACACAAGGTCCTGCAAATTAGCCTAAACTACCCATAAAATTACTTTAAGATCATATTTTGCATTAAAATGGCTTAAAAACATTACTGTTTTTCAATTCAGGGACTGCTGTGAAGGCAGGAACCTTCAGTAAGGAGGTCAGGGAAGCAGTATCTTTTGCAGAAGTCCAGCCAGATTTGCTCAAATTTGACCCAGCAATAGGAAAGACGAAGAAATTTCACACTTAGAGTTATAATTTTTATGGCTTACTAACAGGTTTATTAACTTCTGCCTGTCTGGCTGGACTAGATGACCTTCTGAGGTCCCCTCCAACATGAATTACCCTATACACCTAGTGTGTGTGGCCAGGAAGCTGAAGACACAGCTCTTCCTGCTGACACAGCCACAGCCTATCTTGGCAAACTGTGGAGACCCATGCTTACCAAACTTTCTCTCAGAGTGGTCAAACAGAGTGGCTGACACTGGTATTGTTCTGGTGTTGAAAAAGTGCTTTTCAGAAGGGAGGTAGCATGGGGACCCTCTGCCACTAGGAAGCAGCCCTGCCTGACTCAATGGTTACTAGAAGAAGGGATGGGGAAAAAAAACAACCCCAACCAGACTATAAATAGAGATTACACCCAAATAACCAACCTTCTCTGGGTCACAGTTTCCTAGCTGGGGGACACAATCCTCAGACAAAGCACTTCACGTGTTGCCTAATGTGGTAAGAGGTACATGGTCTTGTGGGAAGGGATGTTATGGAAGTGCTGGGACAAGGCTGCTTATCATCTGCTCTCCCCTAGAAAGGCTGAAGTCTGTAAGGTCTGCACAGCATCTATGCTTTTGTGTATGTGAAAAACCAGCAGGAATTGATGTCATGGGCAGGCAAGTTTGGAGAAATCTGGGAAAGGGGGAAGCCAGAGTTGCAGCTGTTATGAATTCATCACGATTTTGGCCCCGGTTCCAAAATCCTCACAGAGACATAAGAATCTCCACATGATTTTGAGGGAAGCAAGATCTGTAGATATACGAGTGACACATTCATGCATGCTGTATTGTTTAAGAGGCATACTGAGCTTTTAGTTTCAATCCCTGCTCTCTCACTTGTGTCAGTTAGCATTTCTGAGAACCTTATTGTGAGATACAACTTCATGCTGCTGCCTTAAAGTAACAACAACAGAAATTTTCTGGAGAAATTTTGTACAACTATCGGGTGTGATCACAAGATCATCATCACTGGGACACTCTCAGAGCTGTCACAAGGCAGTTTCAGCAGTAAGGGCTCACTGCAGTGGTGCTGCTGCACACAGAAACACAGCTCAGCTCCGCTGGGCTGCAGATTCAATGGGCTGCTCCTGCCTGCACATCTCCTCTGCCTTCCTTGTGCCTGCAGCAGCTCCACAGACTCAGCTAATTCGGGAACTCTCAGTTCCAGCTGAACTCGGTTAATTTTTTGGAGGAGCAAAACTGGCTCTCCACCAGATCAGATCCCAGGCTTGCCTTGCCAGATGGCATCATCAGTGTTACTGCAGTGTAAATAACAAACAGGAGGGCATATCCTTGATCAGAGAGGAATGCAGGACTGCCCCTTTCGGTGGCAATACAGACACAGGCTGTCTTGCATTAACCTTGAAATTACATCCTTAGAAAGGTTTATAACTGCATGGCTCCCCTTGCAGGGCACCAGGCTGCTCGTATTAACAGTGAGCTGCACGTTTCAGAAACGCTAGGTAACATTCACCCTCAGGAGATGACACAAACTGGGTGGTGCCACCCTGTGAGACTGCCTCTGATCACCAAATACCGCTTTGGTACAGGAACAGGGTAAATCCCTAAATCTGTTCCTTTATGGTACTATGAAAGTGTATTACACTGCTATAGCAAAGACAGTCCAGTGCCCTTCTGCATGCCCACACAAACGTATGCTCTGCATTTCCTAGACTCTCCCACAGACGAGGTGGAGGGACATGAGGTTTGCATTCAGAGCGTGAATGAGCTCTGATGTGTATTCAGAGCTCTTCCCGCTGGTTCCAGCTGCAAGGACACGACGCAAGGGCAGAAAGCGATGCACAGGAAGTTCCAGCTGAACATGAGGAAGGACTTCTTTACCGTGCAGTGACCGTGCAATGGAACAGATTGCCCAGAGTGCTTGTGGAGCCTCCCTCACTGGAGCTATTCAAGAAGGCTCTGGACGCAATGCTGCGCCATGTGCTGTGGCACGGCCCTGCCTGAGCAGGGAGTCTGGACCAGATGCCGCACTGGGGTCCCTTCCAGCCTGACGCACCCTGTGACTCTGTGTTTTTGTGTTTTCAGCCTCCCCGCCCCGAGCCCTGGCGCAGCACAGCGCACAGCACGGCGGGCTCAGCAGCCAGCCCGGCCGCTGGGCTCCGGCGCTCCCTCCCTGCTGCCCGGCCGGGCCCCGCGCCGCTCCAGCTCCCGCCCGCCTCCGCCTGGGATGCTCAGCGCGGAGCCCTGCCCAGGGCTGCTAAACGTGGGCTGGGCGGCGGCGCCCGCAGCCATCGCCGGCGGTGCCTCGGCGTTTCCCTTTCCTTTAGGAAAATCCCTTTCCTAAAGGGAGGACGAGGCGGAGGCGCTCCGGAGGCCGGAGCGGCGGTGCCGTCCCCTCCCCGCGCCCGCCGCCGCCGCCATGGCAACCGCCCGTCGCCGCGCGCGCGCACCCCCTTCCCCGCCCGCCCCCCCGCGCCTCTCCCCCCCCGGCCCTGCTCTGACAGAGCCGCAGCGCTGCGCCCCCTCCCCGCGCCGCTCCCGCCCGCGGACACGCACCCCCGGCTCTCCCAGGTAACGGCAGGGCCCGGGAACGGGGCAGCCCCTCACAGCGCTACTGCCCGCGGCGGGCGACGGCGGCTCGGACCCCGCTACGCCGAGAGAGGCGGCGGGGATGGGGGGGAAACCAGCGGTAGAGGCTGGAGGAGGGCGGTGGCGCCCCCAATCTCCCGCGGAGCGTGCCGGGAAGTGTAGTCCGCGCCCCCCGCCGGGCGCTGGGGGCTGCCGGGAGAAGCGGCGGGAGGGAACTACAGCCCCCAGCGCTCTCGGCGGTTGGGGGGGGGGGGGGGGAAGAGATAGGTGCTGCGGAGGGGAGCCCCATGGGGACGGGAGGCTCCCTCTGAACGAGGGCGCTGAGGCAGCTCTGCCCGCGGAACAGCGAGGGACAGGAGCCCCTGTGCCGCTGCCGGGGCGGGAGGGGCCGGAGGGAGGGGCGGTGCGGCCGGGCCGGCTGGCAGGGTGGGCGCAGGGGCGGTGCGGCTGCAGAGGGAGGCGCGGGGAAGGGCAGTGAATGGGGGTGGTGCGGGAGAAACACGGGTGGGTGCCTGCCGTGAGGGGAGGGTGGGCGCAGGGGCGGCTGGATGCATGTGGGGGAGAGAAAGAATACAGGGGAAGGGGCACATGGATGGATGGATGGATGGATGGATGGATAGATATGTGCTGGAGGAGGAGTGGTGGAGCAGATGGACGGAGAGCTGTGCAGAAGGCCGAGCAGCCTGGAGGCTGGGAATGGGTACCAAGGAGGCAATGGTCAGAGGGAGCTCTGGAAAGTTTCCCCGGCCAGTTTGCATTTATGGTTTCCGGTTTCATGTCTCCTACCACGCTTGGGCTCTGATGAGCTTGTTGTAGTAAGTGGTCTGGACACAGTGTTACTTTTTTAAAATTATTCTGCTACATTTCTATTTTTTTCCCCCAAAAGTCTGTCATGATACCAGCATTTGTCCCTTTTCTCTCTCCATTTCCTCTCCTGACAGTTCTCTGTTATTCTTTATCTTGTGTTCTCTAACAGTCATGAGGGAGAATAAAATTACAGTTTTTCTATATATCATACTTAAAATACACGTGTTTATGATTGGTATATAAGGGGGTGTCATTTTTTCTTCCTGAAAATCTGTATCTTAAAAGCATCAGTGCATTAGTACTCCCTTGTATATGAATATTGAATGTCTATTCCTACTACAGTTTCACATTTCACAGAGATAGGTTTCTTTCCAATGAATGCTTGATTGCAGCTGCGGATTGCTGAGCAGTTTCCTTTTTCTTCCTTTCCCCCCCACCCCTATGTCAGCTATATCCTAGACAGGCTTCAGCTTCTTGCAGCTCCTTGTGCTTGCCACACTGCAGAAGGGAACATTGCAGCTGCAGAGTGCTTCCAGGGTCCCTGGCTCTTGGAGATTTGAGCTTTTGAGCAGGTAATGGGCAGAAATAGTTACTGCCCTGACCTAATCCCAATCAAAAGAAATAAATGGAATACAAGAAAAAAATGATAGGCCTTTATCTGGTTTTCTGTGTAATTAATAATAACAAAAAAAAGCTGATTCTTCTGGGGATGAACTGAGAAATCTGAAGACTTGGTGTTTGTAGCACTAACAGCAATATGCATATAAATGTATATTTAAAAATATGCATGCTATTCTATTTATGTAATACATGTCCTTAGTCCTAAAGAGCCAATTCTTTGAAATTCAGAGTGGAGTTCAAGAGGCAGGAAAGTATTCAGCCCAAAATTCTGACCTTATGAGTCAGGGTTATAAACACCTGTGTTGAGTGTATTAAACCTCCAGTTATTCATGGAAAGCTTATCTGGGATGCAGCTTGCCTGAAGTGGAATGGAGCAGCAGCAGCACTGAGTCTTTGTGGAGCTGGCTGTGGTCTGGTGGGGGGGAACACAGGAGTGCTGTATCCAGGGCCAGGTGCAGGAGCAGCTTCACTGTTCTTGGCACAGAGCCCAACCTAAGAAATGCTCTGAACCCGAGCTGGCTCTGTGCAGACCCAGTTTGGGAGCCTTTGGTGGCATGTTTGCTCTACCAGAAGTGCTTACACACGTGATATGCAGAGGAGCAAGTGGCTCCACAAAGGATTATTGACTCAGGCTGGGATCCACTTTGTTGAGCTCCAGACAGGCCCTACAGAATCCTTCAGGTCTCTGGGCCCTGCATCCTGTCAGAGGAGGGGTTTGACTGATCATGGGCCTGGGTTTGATTTGTTACTAGTGCCAGAAGCCCTGGAGGCTGTGCTGGAGAGGAGAGAGAGGTGAGCAGCCAGCCTGGGTCCAGCAGGGCTAAGATGGAGCAGAAGCTGGCGAGCTGTCACTGCCTGACCCCTGTGTGTGTATGGAGTTGCACCCCCCAGAGTGCCCCACAGCATTTGTTTTAGCTCTTTTCACTACCCAGCCTTGCTAAGGAACACCTCATTACCCCAAGGATGGTGATGGGCCCATATGGATGTGTCTGAAACTGGTGTATGAGGTGCTTGGAGAAGGGTGCAGTTCACACTCAGTTTTAGCAATGGCACAGCCGTCTCTGATTCTCCTTTCTGCTTCTTCAGAGAACTGTACTTCAAAGGCTCTGCAAATGGCTATTTCATTCTCCAGGATGCTTGCTGTTTGGTTCACCAAACTAATGAAATCTCTAATTTAAATATCTAAATTAATCTTTAACTAAAAGACTGGCCACCTATTTAGTGTTTTCTTATGAGTTTACTTTTAACTTGTGATGAATGTCTTTACTTCATTTGGAGATTTTTTTTTCACTTGCGCTCAAAGTAATTCTCTGTTTCAAGTTAAGAATGCACACAAAAATAGTTTGAGGCCTGCATGCATGCTTCTTCTCCTTCCCACTTCCATACACATTTCCCATTAACTCCATGTCTGCCATTGCAAAACAGTTTCAATGCAAGAGGCCAAAAACCAGTTAGCAGAAAGCAACTGACTGAGTTAAAAGATCCCTTGGTGCTGGGTTTCCTGGACCATGGTATATATGTGTGTGTGTGTGTGCGTGTGTGTGTGCGTGCGTGTGTTTTATCTGATGTCTGCTGCTGCCATTGTAGTCAGCCTTGTCACTGCTAATGCACACAGCAAAAAGAAAAAACAGCACTGGCATAACACATTTCTCATCTTTGATTCATTTACATGTAGTTTAAATTCAAATCTGCTGGAACTGAGCCATGTCTTTACTTATAGATATGTTTTTAACAGGAGTTGTGATCCTGTGAAGTCATGATTGTTAGTTTTCACACTAGTCCATGGGACTACAGCTGCATGTTCAAACAAAGCCATGTTAACAGGGAAAGATGGATGTAGCTGTGAAACTTGGCAAGACTTTTGTTTGTTTGTTTTTTATCTGACAATAATCAGTTAAAATGTTGTTTTTGTCATGCAAACGTAATGTCTGCAGCATCAGCAATTGCTTCTGAACAGGGACAGACTGTTATTGGCAAGGAAGATCAGTTGTTCTGCATCCAACACCAAAATGAGAGATAATCTTTATAATAAAGCAGGAAAAACTTATTTAATTTATTCTAATTATTGCATTTTTTAATATCTTATTCTTAAAAATCAAATGAAATATATCAAGCATGTAAAAAAATATAGTCTGTATTTCTGTTAGAAATAGAATTCTGTAGGCTTCTAGCAGGAGTCACATGTCATGCGGGGAAAACCACTTTTTTTGTTCCTCTGACAATGTTCCAGTTAGTGTTGCTGTTTATGCTCTCTCAGGTAAAGCATTGTCATACTGTTACATGTCTCTATTTTAACGATTTTTAAGTTTGAAGAGAAGACTGAAAATCAGATCATTGTGCTATTTTAAGAGAAGACATAATTGAGGGAGAGAGAGCTGTTTGAAACTGGTCAAAGTTGGCTTACAAAACCAATATGGCTTTAACTTAAGAAGGGCAGGTTTCAATTAACTGAATGAAAAACTTCCAAGCAGTAAGAGGAATTTGAGGGAAAAACAACTTCAGTTTATGACTTAGACTCTGATAATGGAACTGGTTGCACATGAAAAGTATACAAATCTAAAAATCAAAACCTCTTAACAATGGACTTCTCTTCCTTGCTTTGCTCTCTGTGGCAATTGACCTTTCTGGGATTGTGCGTGGCAGAGAATCATCCTGGCTCTGCCCTGTACAAGTGGAGAATGTACAGTCATACCTCAGTCATAAGCACTGTGTTCAGAAGATGGTGCCTAACAGTGTGACTCTCTGTCTTGTGACATTAGTTGTAACTCTTACATTGCCTTTCGGGATGCCCAACATCACGCACGGCTGATTTACAGGAAATGAGAAACAGGGTTAGTAACCAATCTTCATCAGCGTATGTCCAGGCCTTTCCAGATGTTCAGCTGTCCAGTCAGCAGTACTGCAGGGCTGCCATGATGTGAGAGCATATGTCCAGCAATCTCAGGAAGCTGTGGAATGCTTTTGTTTTGCCAGGATAAAATTTTGATCAGAGAAAGACACATGTCCAGGAAAATCCACGTATGGTATAGCCCTCTCAGTGGGGAATTAACATCTGATTTGGAGAAAAGTCTGATTAGTAGGTATTAATTATGGCTTGATGTGAGCATTGAAACAATGAGAATAAAGCAAAAGTGTCTAACAGCTTATTTAAAGAGAGTCCTTCATCCTGTGCAAGAGTCAAGGGCTTGTGGAGAAAATGGGATCCAGTGGTGTCACTGTTTGTATCAAAACACATGCATAAAAGAGACACGTAGAGATAGCAGATGCCTTCCATTTTGGCACTTGCAGAGTGAATGTTTGGGATCAAGCAAGGGGAAAAGCCCTGCTGCAGACCCCCTCTACAGGGGAGAGCATTTTCTGCCTCTGGTAACACTGTGGTGAGATAGTGCTGAGAGATGGTTTGAAGGGGACCAGTCCTGAATCCATTCCCACTGGTGTTGCACACAAGTTTGGAATAATGTGCTAGGTTGTCCCCCTTTGCCTGTCGTCCACACAGTCACTGTATCTGCCCATGGATACTTTTGTGTGTATAATGCTTTGATGCTAAAGTAGAGACTGATTTTTGCATCTTGCTCAATTGTGCATTGCTTTAGTTCTGGGAGAAAAATTCTTTTCTGACCCTAGATAGGGATCAGCTCAGCTTATGCTCCAAAGAATAGAGATTAATATCCCCTGTGACCTTTTAGCCTGGCTGCTGCAGGGTTTTTAACAAGTGGGTTTAAGACCCCATGTGTGGCAGCTACGCCGACTTGAATGTCTGTAATGTCTCTTCTTGTCAATGATCCGTGAACTGAGGAATCTCCAAGGATATCTTGACTTGCAGTGGAGCTGTTACGGTCTAGTGCAGGAGAGAGCCACACAATGGTACAATGAAAAGCTGTGTCACAAGAAGTGTGTAAGTTGTTCTAAATGTACTTGACAACAGGTGTCCCTGGCTGTATAGTTACTTAAAAGATGTGGCTGTGGTATGGTAGGAAAATTAAATTACTAAACAAAGCTCCAGATAACAAGCAACAAAATGCTTTCTTTATGATTTCTATATTTCTGGTTCCTTGGATGTCTCTGATGTTGTATGAACTCTATAATACAATGTAGAATAGATAATAAAGAGTGAGTACATAGCATGAAAAGGTCCTCACCTAGTTGTAGTTACTTCTCCCTCCCTCTCCATCCCTGACATTGAAGAATGGGATGATGAGAAAACAACACAGGAAATAATTCCTTCCAAAAAATAATTTTCCCTTGATTTTGGACTTATTTGTTTTGATTTGCTTTGGATATTCTGAATTAACATTACCTTCACTGGTGTGCATAGGAAGCTTGTAATTTGTTTAAACCATTTTTAGCATTAGTTTTAAATAGCAGTAGAATCTCAGCAAACTGCCTGGGATTCCAGGAAAGCACTGGTTTAGACTGAGGACTATAGCTGCTGTTTCAAATAAAGCTAAGGTAAATAGGTGGCATTATATTCACCTTTTCAAGCTGTATGACACCTTTGGTGTCTAGTGTAGGTAATAAGTAAAACTGAAGTGCCTGAGTCCACAGGAAAGATCCAGGGGCTTTTGCCAGCCTAGCTCTGGAGGCATTGACTGTTCAGGAGGTACACAGGTGTACATCCATCCACCAGCCTCCCTCCATGCTCCAAGTTTCAGTGCTGTCAGTGTTTTATGAGCTCTTCAGTGTGACACACCAGGCATCATGCTCATGCATAAGCTTTGGCATCACAAGCATGAGGCTAGAGGCCTCTGTACTCTTGGTAGCTGGAGGAAATGGGAGAGTCTTGTTTGGTTTGCTCCTGCAATTTTAAAACTGTGTACATTTTTCTGCTTCCTGCCTCTCATCTTCCTTGTCCTGAAGTGTTGCCTCCTGCCTGTGGATTGACCCAGCTCCCACCACAGACAGAGATGAGGAGGTTGTCTCCTCTGGTGAGCAGGGGAATCTTCTGGAATTAAGGGGAGTTGGTTGTGAATGTCAGTCCTCTTAAGGCAAAAGAGAATTAAATATGCCCAGAGGGTGGGAATTAGCTGTAATAAGGAGCAATGAGAGGTTGTAAAGGAAGTATGTGTTCTGTTTAATAGATTTCTAGGAATTGAATTCAGCAGTTCCTTAAAAATGTTTTATTTACTCTCTCTCTTTCACTACAAATGCGGAAAATCTCCAGAGATTTGAGGAATGATTTTCTTAATAGTGACAGGCTGGTTGTGAAGCAGATCCTGACCTGGATGTGTTTGAAGACAGGTCAAAGGCTTCTGCCCCACATGGTGTTCTGTTCATTTATAAGCTGACTCATGAGATCTGAATGGGTCATAAACTATCTTCAGTTCCTATCAATTTATGCATTTCCTGGGCGATGTGGGTGACATCACTTTTTTTCCTATTAGTTACAATCTTCTGTATTTAAAAATTAAATTATCTCAGTTGTTGCTAATCCTGATCTTGGTAATGATGTATCCTGCCTATGTCAGGGAACAAAATTAGGGTTGTCACCCTTTCCACCTTAGATTTTCTCCTGCCCAGTAGTTTACAGCAGCCAGCAGGAATGCTGTGCAAGCTGAAATGTGCAGCACAGCATGAGGACAAGTAAAGCCCAGTCAGTCCTGCTGTGCTTGGTGGAGTGTCAGCTGCAGAGTAGCAGCATGTTCTTGCTCTCAAAGTCATCAGCCACATGCAAGCTGTGTGACCTGTGGGTTTAAGTGAGGGTGCAGTTTCCATGGCTTTGCTGCAGGGAGCAGGAGTGGTGAGGTGGTGGAGCAGACCTGGTGTGCAGCTCTAGGCAGCAGTTAGGACCATCAGTGTGGCACCCTGGGGAGGTGCAGCGTGTGTTTGCTCAGGGCAGAATGAATTTCGTGTGGATGTCTGTTTAACTTGTCAGGGGTTTGAATTTTGCTAAGCACAAGGGAATACAAAAGCATAAGACACATGCTCCTTAATGCCATCTTGCTCTTGTCTGTTTATAAAACCTACTAACATTTTTATAACCCACGAGGATGTAAAAGGTTGCTTCTGCCTGTTCTGGCTTCTGTCTGCTACCACCTGTTCCTTCTGTGTGCACTCCTGTAGCATGGGCTGTTTTCAGCTGTGTAGTGTGAACTGTGTTTGTATCCCTCCTTCCCAGTTTCTTCTTCATCTCCTTGGTCTTGCCAAACCCTTGATACAACTAGTGAACCTCACTCCAGAGCTGACCTCCTCCCTCTTGTTCAGTGCAACTCTGCATTGCATAGCTATGAAATGCAATTTTTTATTTTTCATTTCCAGAGGTTTATATCTCAGTGAATTTCAGGGACCCCACACATATTGAGAGCACAAGGGAAAGGAACTGATGCTCTTTTTCTGTGGTGGGGACCTAAACTTTGGGTCACATGAGATTCAGATAAAAGGGCAGGCACTGCTACAATCCTGAACCTTAAATACAAACCTAGCTGTACAATACAGCTGAATTCTGAATGTCTGGGTTATTGCTTTCTTGACAGGTTACTGGGAAAAGCTGGGCTATGGGTTTGCCTTAAAGTCATGCAGTTTGAGGACTAGGGGAAGGTTGTACTTTGGGATTCACTGTTCTAAGGAATGTTAAATTTGGATTGCTAACTGCCATAAATCTCTAAGTGACATGTTAAATTTAATGAAAAAATTCAAGTCAGCATGTGGATGTTGGAGTACTTTGAAAGAATATTTAAACAGAATGAGGCTCTCAACTTCATCTATAGTAGAGCAGTCATTCAACCATATCATAATCTCATTAGGGTGAGGGCTCTTGAAAGTGTGAAGTGCAGACATCCCTGATGCTGGTTGGCACATTTAGGCATGTATGTAATATAACAGAATAAAAAGCAATTTAATGCCTCGTGTGATTTGTGATTCACAGCTGATGGCTGCTAATACATTGTGGTGATCTACAAATTAAAGTTGAGTTTGTTAGTTTCAGTGTGGGAAGGGCGTTTAATTTTGTTGCATTAATTTAACAGGATTGAGGCCAAAGGCAGCAAAGAAGTTGTGGTTTTAATCACTATAAAAGAGTTACAATTCATGATCTGAAACCTTAGGCTAGTAAAGTGATACTCCAGACATAAATGGTTGTAGAAGAGCAGGACTGGATGGGAGCAGTGTTGGAAAGACACAGTTCAGCTACGAGAAAAATAACAAAACTAAAGCATCACTGTCTGAATTATTCTACAGCATGTAAAATTCATTTTTTTTTCTGGTAATTATGTTCTCTTTTAGATTTCTTAGTGAAGATGAATTTAGCAGAGATTTGTGATAATGCCAAAAAAGGAAGAGAATATGCACTCCTTGGGAATTATGACTCTTCTATGGTATATTACCAGGGTGTCATCCAGCAAATCCAGAGACATTGCCAGTCAATCAGAGATCCAGCAATTAAGGGCAAATGGCAACAGGTAGGGTGAAATGACATTGACCATATTCTATTACTTGATATTTGAAAACCACACTATATCTCCCAAACCCTATAAGATGCAGAGGACTTACATTTCAGTGATGTTGGCAACAGTTGTACAATATTTTGTCGATATTCATGGGAAAATATTTTTCATGGTGTATTCAAAAGGAATTCTATTGTTCTAACTGAATCAGTTCTTCTGTTGTTGTCACTTAGGATATCTGTCTAATTCCTGGTCTGTTTCTCTCTGCATGCTCTCTGTGACTGCATACTTTTGAAAAAATTGAGGACTTTCTTTTCCCCTTGTATCTTTTGGCCATCTAATGTCCAGTAAACTAAAATGTGAGTGGGTGGGTTAGCATCACTAGAATTGTTGTCTGACTATAATGACATTAAATGTACCCTAAATGTACACTAAATGACTATAGTGTACAAATTTGGATCAGGTTTCTAAAACTGCAAGTCATACTCTTAGCCTGAATCTTGCTCACATCTGTCTCCTTGCTAGACAGAGTACTGTTGAAACCATGGAAGTAATCTGCAGGTGAAATATAAGAACCCCATCTATTTTTATTACTTTCAGTATTTAAGTCTTCATCACATTTTTTAGCCCATTTTTCATGTGGTTCTATAAACATGAAAAGGAGGAAAACCATATAAAGATGTTTCCTAGAATAAAGAATTCATGTTGCATAAAGACTATGTTTTGAAAGAATAACATATCTCCTATGAAAGATACAATTTTGCAGTAGGTAGCTAAAGAGATTATTTCAGTAAGAGTTTTTCTATATATATGTTTAAATGATATCACCTAAAAACGGAAGCAAAATTTCCTTTTTATTGCAGCAGATGATTTGTTTATAGGTTTGTGTTTGTAACTTCTGACACTAACATAGAGTATTTTGTGCACTGATAAGTACAACACTTAACAACCACTTTGTAGTAACTACTATTCATAGGTGTTTATCATAGAATGTCTATGAAGAGCTTGTGCCTGTACATCCAGCAGAGATAGCTTTCCTGGTAATGTAGTAAGCTGGATGTTGTGTAGGAGATATTCACATTCAAGTACTTGTATTCAAGATTTTTCCCACCCCAGGACATGCTGATACAAGGTGTTCATGCCCAGTACATGTCCTTAGTTCCTGCCAAACTTGTAGCTGACGTGAAGGTAGAGTATGAGGATTTCCTCATTCTGCAGCTGAACCACTGCATTGTCTTCACATCTAGTATTTAGTGTTTCTTCTGATGACACTGATTCTTCCAATAAACTTTCAACAGCTCCTGTGTTGTGAAGGTCACTCAAGTCTCATGTTACTGTGTGTTGTTTGAACTGCTTCACAGAAGCCTGTGCACCATGGAATGTGTGCTGCACATTGGAGACAAACCTCAAGTACAAAAGGACCATTAACACAGTTTCCAGGATTTATTCCCTGGGGAAGGCAGCTGTCTCTCCAGCAGAGGATCTGAAGTTGGCACCTTCTCAGAAATTATCCCCTTTAGGCAAAAGAAGAATTGCTCCTGACCATGTCACATAAATGCTTTAGAGATGTGTCCCAAATAAGATCTGCAGCAGGTGGGGTAGCGTCTGTCACACTGTGCACTCATGTTAATTCTGGAACTTCCCAACATAGTAGTGGCAGATGAGCTTTGTCAGAATATTGCTTTGCTGTTACTGGTGCCAGGCTTGGAGACAAACAGCAAAAAGTAAGAAGTGTGACTGAAAAAAAAATAAATGAAGGGCTTCATCCCTAGGTTATTTGCCTTCTCATTCGTTTGTGGGAACAGAATGATGCAGCCCAAGAGCAAACAATGCAGCCCTGTAATTACTAGCTTTTCCATACCAGAGCTTGCATGTTTAGGTGAGACCTACAGAGTTAGACCTGCTTTCCTTACCCACTCTTTATAAATAAATAATTGTTGTGCTTTCTCACTTCTTGAAACAGACTGAGAAGGAGTTTGGTGATGTGGATGTTAGCACTACTTTCCAGCTCCAACAGCAGCTACATTCAAACTATCAGTCACAGTCAAGCAGCTATCTGGAATGACAGCCTGTTCTGAAAAAAATGTAACTGAGAAGTTGGATCACAAGTAACACTCATTCACAGTATTAAAGCAATATCTGGATACTAATTTTAGATCTTTCTCATTAAAGAGTTATGCCATACACATTATGTAAGTTTAGCAAATTTCGAGTCCAGCCCACTTGGTACCAGTAATGTGCAGAAGCAAAAGATTCCCATACCAGTGTGGTTCTTGCAAGTGGCTTGAGAAGCAAAGCAACCCTTAGGTCAAGGGTAAGGGGATTAATGCAGTTGATTTTTACCTGAAATTCTGTCTTCTCAAGCATATGGAACTAGCCTGTTCTTCAGGTTCTTCAGCTTCTCCATCATCTGAGGAATCTGGAGAGGATAAGACCACTGGTGCCTTTTGGAGGGGGAGTTTAGCAATCACTAACACTGTGGGAGCTTTAACTCTTGAATGTCCTTGTAAGTAAGTGCTCAAAGGAGAAGAATGTTACGTAAACTAGTTCTTCTCTGGGATGTGCTGTCTGCATACACATTCACAATATTGAGCCTTCTGAAGGATTCCTGGGGTACTGAGTGTCAGTATGAAGCATCCCCTTCCTTTCTGTATGGTTTGTGTGCAGCTCACTAACAGGGTTTTTGTCCTACTGATACTTCTAGGGCAGTGATCTGTTTCGTGTGTTTGTGGACAAGTTCCATTGTAAAACAAAAATGTTCATTTGAGGAACATCTCAAAGAATGGTTCCAGCTGTGGCTGTGCAGCTGACCAACTTACATCTCTTACATGCACCATTGTTCTTCCTGTTTGGTCCTTGTCAACAGTGGGTGCTCCATCCTGCATAGGTACCTCATGCCTGATGGATCTGCTTTTGTATATGACAGAGGATTTTCTCAGTAGTTTATTGAGCAATGTCAAAGCCCAGGTGAACCAGAACTAGTTGGGATTTTGGGTCAGATTCCCAAATGCTCTTGATCTACATCTCTTTGCAGAAGTGTCATTGTTTTAAAATTGCTACAGATTGGTCTGGACAGAATTATGTTCTGTGCAAGTATTTTTTGAGCTGTATTTCATGTCACACCGAGAGACAGCTTCAGCTTTGCAACTGGATGTCTTGATTTTGAGGATTCCTCCTGCTTGGAGCTGATGGTTAGGATGAGGAGGAATATGAACATGTTAACATCTCCTCTGCGAACAGCTGACTCATTCAGTTACAGTTGATGCAATACTGCGTCTGGGAATTCCAAATCAGTGCTAACCAGGGTAGAGGGATTCTGTTACTCTCTGGCACACCCTGCAGATCTTAAACAGGGCAAAAGATGCATGCTGAGGATCCACCAAAGCAGAGACATGACAGCATAAGAATTCCTCTGACTTCATGGAAAATTCACAGCCACTGATCATCATCTCTTGACTGGTTTATCCTGGGGATGTCAGGGTGACGTGGTCCTGAGACCATCTTTGTTTTGCATCCAGGGAATTCCCAGCTTGCATTTTGGTTGGCCAAGTGTACCTCCATTTGCATCTTCACTCCTAGGCCGCCGGAGCTCATTTAAAAAAAAGTTACTTTGTTGTGCTTTGAGGTTAGGCTGACAGGTAGGCATATTATTTCATGTAAATGCAGGCTGAGACTGGAAAGATACAAAATCAGAAGCAACTCATCCTTCCCAAAACTAAAAGGTAGGTTTAGTCTCATGTCCACTACTGTGAACTTGTGTTGACGTTCTCCCTGTTTATTCTGAGAGAGTTTCTTGGCTGCTGCAGTGTTTTTACTAGACAGCTGGCTTGTAGGAACGAGCAGCTTCAGTGACAGCTCAGCAGCTGCAGAATGACAGCAGAGCGCGCCCCTGGGAGATAGTGCTGGCTTACAACAAGGCCAGCGGCTGTCAAGCTAAACCTGCTGCGTGTTAGAGCCATGTGCTCCGTGTTGCACAAGAGCTGAGAGCACAGGGGCCTCCACTGGAGCTCAGGCAGGAGTTCAGTGATTCCCTGAGTGCGTGGAGCAGCCAGCAGGGCACCCTGACTGACTATGGTCACTGGTGCAGGTGCACTGATTAGGTGCGCTTTATTCCTGCTTAAGGAATAAAGGGTAAATTCTTCTTCTTATTATTACAAACACATTTTAGTCAATCTGTGCTTTTGTTGTTTTTTGCTTCATGCCTGTTTCATTAACATTTAGTAGGTTATCTCGTGATTAACTAAGACTCATTCTGTGGGTAACTCATGAAGAGGTGTCATTACAGGAGCTATACCCTCACTCTGTGTGATCAGACAGGGTTCCAGGATACCTGGTTTAGGAATCTTTTATTTTCACGTTTTAAAAGATCGAGCTTTTTGAATAGCTAACACTAATTGCAGGTAGTAATTTCAGGTTTGGAAAACTCTTAGAGATAAACTTGATCAGTTTTCTTCAGCAAAAGAAAAATCCCACACATTATTTGTATTTACCAAGGCACAAATGCCCACGCTTATTACAATGGGTATAGAAGTACAAGCTCTAGCATAGCAAATAAAAGCTGGTGATGGAGAAGGTATAACAGTTGCCGGATTATGAAATACAGAGTTACTCCCTGAAATGGGTTTTGTAACTACCACTAAGAATGAGTGAACTCAATTCTTGTTCACTGTGTTTTATACCTATATGATAGGATGTGTTTTCTGCTTGGTTACTGGAAATTCTTGGGGTTGGCGTGTCAAAAAAAAGCTGTGGGGCCATCCTGTGGGCTGAAAGGCTTTTTGTTGGGCCTTCCAGCATCACCCACTGCCCAGAGGAGGTAATGGGGCTGGTAGGGCAACACTAGTGGCTGTACCAGAGCCTGCCTCTGGGGACCAGGCAGCTTCACATGGCAGCTGTATTCAGCTAACATCCTGCCATGCATAGAGAGGCCAAGCTCTTCCCTACCTTTTTTTTCCCTTCCATCTGTGCCAGCTTCTCTCTCACCTCTGCCCCCTTCCCTTTTTTTTTCCTGGGATTTACCTGATCACAGGATAGTGTGCATGTGCAGCTTGCTAACCCAGCAGAAGTGTCCTTTATTTATTTTTTTTTACCCTCCTAGGCCAATTTTTTTGCCATTTTACCAACCTGTCTTACTGTATTGAGATGCCAGAATTGAATCCAGAAGAGCAGGGGCAGTGAGGCTGGGGAGAAGTGAAGGGAATTTTTTCTATTTGGCAGCGGTGAGCTGCTAATTGTCACACTATCTCTTGAAACTTCTTACACATAAATAACTTAAAAGTTTTCTTCTGGCTCTCTAAAACCTGAGCTGGTGCCTCCTAAGGGATCTGGGACATAATGGTGTGTATGATGCGGGACAAGGAGACTGGGTGAGTGATTTTTCCATTTGCATCCTTCCTAGGTTGCTTCAGAGTGGCAGTGATCACTGAAAGACACTGCTCAGTCAACTTCATAATTGTGGCACAGCCTTTTTGGCCCATGTCTGGGTTGTTTCTCAACTGCAAGGAAGTCTTTCTGCACAGGTTTCATCTGAGTCACTTTCTTTAAGGCCTCTAGGAGTTTATGGTTGGTTTTCCTTTGTGGTCCACACGCTGAGGATTCCTTGTTGGTTGATTTGCCAGGTATTGACTAAGAAATAGGGTGTGTATTTCAGAGTTTGGTCTGCTCAGGGCAGGCTAAGAGATGGCTGGTAGACACTAGTCTGTTTTCATCTTCCAAAGCATCAAATGGTCACTTTCCCTCAGTTTTCAGATACCATCCTCTTGCTGGTCCAGTGAGGTGAACAACAGCACACTGGCTGTTAGTGCTGGAAAGTTGTTTTCCACCAATTTCTCTGCATGTGTTGGAAGGCTGATAGAATGGATCCTGTCAGTACTCTTGGAGCACTGGAGTAGGAAGTGGCTGTCTCTTGGAGTGGTGCCCTGGAGGATTTATGCTGTATCATTCTTTTGTACCTCACAGCAGCTGTTTGGCTGGATTTATTTTTGGACAGGAGGGATGTGTGTGAAGACAGCTTGAAGGAACCAAGTTAGTAATCAATCACATTTGTAACTCAGCTGGAAGCTCTCACATTGGGGAATGTGTCCACTGATTGTGTGATGAGAAAGCAAAGACAGCAGAGCAGGGCAGGAATAATCCTGCCTGAGCTGGATGTCTTGTGTCTTTGGAGAGATACAGTTAGCCCATCTGGAAAGAGCAAGAAGGCTGCTTTGCCCTGTGAAATGATCAAGATCTTCCTGTACTTAAGGCTCTTTTTGTATAGGTGTTCATAAACCTTCTGGTAAAGTACATGCAGTGTTTTGAGATCTGTTCAGGGCCTTGGGGGTTTACCCTTCTCTTTCCCTCTGTCCATGCCAGTATTTCACTGATGACAGTCGCATATATTAATAAAATCATGGTGGAAACTCTCAGGCTGGAAGGAAGTCATAAGGATCATTGAGTCCAACTCCCTGCTCCTACCTAAAACTAAACCACATGACTAAGAACATTGTCTAGACGCTCCTTGAACTCTGGCAGACTTGGTTCCATGACTGCTTTACTGGGGAGCTTGTTCCAGTGACCACCCTCTCAGTGAAGAACCTAATGTCCAATCTGAACTTGCCCTGGTGCAGCTTTATTCCATCTCTGGTCCCCAGGGAGAGGAGATCAGCAGCACCTTCTCTGCTGCCTGCCTTGAGGAAGTTGTAGACCACTGTGAGGTCACTCCTCAGCTTTCTCTTCTCCAAGCTGAACAAGCCAAGTGACCTCAGCTGCTCCTCATAAGTCTTGCCCTTGCCCTTTCACCATGTTAGTTGCTCTGCTTTGGACACACTCTAATGTTGTGCTCCTCACAGAGTTCATTTTGTAATATTATATTTTAATGATTTGGCCAGTTTTATAACTAGAACGTCAGAGACTGTAATCAGAGATCTTTTATGCCAAAACAGTAGCACATTACTGCAGATCTGCCAAGAGCACCCTTACTAGTGTGAAAGCATGTGTGCATACACGTCAGCATGCACACACGAATCCAGGCATCAGCATACATTACAGAAGAGTGATCACTGTGTTAGCAATCCTGTCTGCTTGGGACATTTACAAGCAGGAAAATGAACTCAATTGTTTATGCTGCTGTTAAAGGTCTCTTATCAACCTGATAGGTCTGGGGTTTGTGAATAGGAAGTCGAGTCCCTGCCTTTGAGGTTCTTGAGGTACTTTCTATGTTTGTTTGGTTCTTTTTAAAGTTTGAATTGTAACAATTTTTAAATAATATACGTGCTTCTCAAGGTCCGACAAGAATTAGTTGAAGAATATGAACAAGTTAAGAGCATTGTCAACACTTTAGAGAGTTTTAAAATGGACAGACCTCCAGATATCTCTGTATCCTGTCAAGATGAGCCTTTCAGAGATCCAGCTGTTTGGCCTCCTCCTGTTCCAGCTGAACACAGGTAAGGAGAGGCTCAAGCAGAGTGGGTGGAATAAAGGTGGGTCACCATAATTTTATATTTGTTTGTGAATGCTTCTGTAACATGAAAATCACATTTAATTTACACATTTATTAAATTTAATTTAGTCACTTGAAATAAGGAGTAAATATAATTAATGGAGAAAAAAGTATTTAAACTACAGTCAGATTTGTTTCTGACATTCTAAAGAGAGTCACTCCTTTATTCTGGTAGGAGTAACTAAGTGCGTGGAACTAGAATCTGCTGCAGAGGTAAGTGGGCTTTTGGTGACATGTTCTCATGTGCAAGGAGAAAACTTTTCCATTTCAGTTTATTTGAGCAAAAGAATTAATTGATGACTGAGAAGTCTGTAAGGAGCTGGAACTGAAGGATCTTGAAGGACATGGTGGTTAGAAATCACTCCCTAGCTACAGATAATTCAACCTGTATTTAATCCATTGGTTAGTTTAATTGCTAAACATGTTCTGTTACACATGGTATATCTCTTCTCTAACCATATTTAGGGTAACGTCAGTTACCTGATAGATTTCTTAAAATAGATCCTTGTCCATTTTCTGAAATCCCTATTTTCAACCTAACAGAGATGGTTGGAAACAGATTCAGTTTACAGACAAAAATAGCATTTATCATGCCAATTGTTTTTTAACATAAGAGCACAGAATTTTAACTTGTGTATACTCACATAAGCAAAGGAGCAAAGTAAAATGAGAGATCTCGGTTAACAGAAAGAAATGCCAAGTTTATTTATAACTTTCTGTGCTTTATGATTATCAAAAAGATCTTTGTTTTTAAAAAAAAAAACCCAACCTAAGAATATAAGTGTAATATTATATTAATGCTGATTGCTTTTGTGAGTGGTAGAAATAACTCAGGTTTTCTGTAGTAATGTTATGTAAAGTTCAAGATGTATTTATTCTTATATTTTCCTTAGTGGTAAAGCCCCAACAGTTCATCTGCTTTTTTTAGGCTGAAATTTAAATCTTGTGCAAATAAGTAAGGAAACTTAGGCACTGTTCTCTGCTGTTAAGTTTAAAGAAAATGCATGAAAAGCAAAATGTTGCCATTGTATCCAGCAATGTATTTAAGAATGTGCCTAATTTAAAGCATATTCCAGGAAAATGTTTTTGGAGTTAACAAATTTTGAGTTACTCAAAACAAGAATCAGTACAAGATTCAATAGTGGAAACTTATTAAATTTGCGTGGCATTCCTGGCTGTTTATTGTAGTTCTGTATTTTAAATTCAATCCCTGGAGAAAAATGACAATGACTTCTTGTCTTAAAACCAAATTCTTTCTCCTCATTCTACTGCTGAGTACTCTTTGACATTGTGGGTGATGCACACAAATATAGGTGATTGCAGTTCAGCTCTGTTTGCTTTTGCTTTCAAGGCAATTTTTATGTTTTGACATTTTCACACAGGGGAATGAAGTCAGAGGTAGGCGGATTGTTTAAAATCCTCCCTGTTTTGTTTTGGGGCCTGTCAAAGATTTTAGCCACCTTTTTTTTTATATCTCTATTTTAAAAATCTTTATTTTACCAGGAATGTCATCTATTTTTTGTAGAATTTGTGCATGTGAATGTAGCCTAATATGATCTCCTGCTTTGGAGTCAGAGGAATATTCGATTTGACTACTGTTGCTAAATTGTTTCCTCTTTTGTTACATGGGTGTTGGTTTGTTGTAAGACTGATTGGGAATACTGATCTGATAATGTTGCTAATTTTTTCGTTTGTGTTTTTTTTTCTTACTTTGGGTATCAGACAGAACCAGGAATGTGGTTTTGGATTTGTAGATACAGGGAAATAAGGCTTAGGGTCTTGGCAGCTTTAGTAATAATGCACTAAGGCAAATTAGAATGTGTCCTTCTTAATGTTGCTCTTTTTTTCGCTGTTTTTAGCATGTTTTTGTTGTGGTTGCTGTTGTTAGGGCTCCACCTCAGATAAAACGTCCCAACCGAGATGGCAAATCTTTGAAGAAAGACTCCCCAGGGCTGCAGCCGCGCGGGCCCGCGGGCAGAGCACACCTGGTGTCCAAGGGGGAGAAATCTTCAGGCAGCCGTGAAAGGGAATCCAGAGCCAGGGCAAGGGATGACAAGGTAAGAGGTGGGAAAGAACTTGGCAGGGAGCTGTCGTGCTGCAGCAGGTGGCACAGGGAAGCACTCTTAGTCATTTAATACAGATAATAAAATTCACAATAATCACTTGTGGGAAAACTTAGTGCTTTCTTTTTCCCCACAATCAAAGCTTGTATAGTGGTCACATTTATTAATAATTACACCAAATTAAGAAAAGTTCCGTCGTGTTTGCTCTATCTTGGTGTAACATTTTTTTTGAGGAAGGGAAGCATAGTGTCCTGTTGCTGGGGGTTTCTTATTCTTTGAGTGAAGACCATGGGTTTGTCTCTAATCTCTAAGTGTTATTCAGGCATGTAGTCCCTCTTCCTCCTCCTTTTCCCCCATATTTGGTGGGTTGTTTTGTTTTGTTGGTTTTTTTTGTTGTTGTTGTTGTTGGGTTTTTTTTGTGGTTTTTTTTTGTGTGGTTTTTTTGGGTTTTTTTGTTTTGTTTTTTTTTTTGTTTTTATTTTTGTTTTTTTGTTTGTTTTTGTTTTTGTTTTTTGGTTTTTTTTCTTCCTTAAAGGAATCCGATACAGGACTTTTGTAAATGTAAAGATATTAATATAAAAAGTGCAAAAATGAGACTGGTGCCCTTACCTAGACTTGACTGGAGTTATGACAGCATTATGACTGGAGTTCCACAGTACCATTGCCTCTGCCACACCATAGTATAATGTAGGCATGCCTAGGAGTTCAGAACAGTTCCATAAATGCATTGATGGTAGGTAAATCTGTGCCAAATTATTTGAAGGTACATATTTGAAAATAGTATGAGGGAGAAGTATTAAAACCAAACTCTAAGCAACATTCATTTTCTCTGGTTTATGAAAGGGGTTTTGTATTTATTATAGTGTTAGAAAGAAGCTTCTTGGAACTGTTTTGTTTTAAAAGTAAAAGCAATGAATTAAACTAGACTAATCTGGAGATACTTTCTTCTGAAGATCCATGAAAAGGAAGCAGTGCTGAAGTGAAAGAAAAGGAGAAACAGCGATTCAGTATAAAGTGGTGATGTCAAAACCAGGACTGTTTTGTGGCTGGAAAAATGTCAGTGTGCAAATCACTGTTTCTGAGACACTTGTGTTTTTAAATTTAACTGTGGAGTTAGTGCCAGGAACCCAAGGACTCTGTGGTGTTAATTATACAAGCTGAGACTGTTCTGAAGTGGCATTACTTTCCTGACAGACAAAGATACAAGACATGCCTTCCTATGGAGGCACAAAGTATTGTACAGATCTTGAGAGATGAATAAGAAAATATTTAGGCCAGTTTTCTTCCAAAATTTGGTTAGTTCCTTTGTGACTTTTCTAGTGCACTTCTTGACAGCTTAGGAACAACTCAAAGATATGCTTTTTCCATCATAAATTGTTTTCTGATACACAGGAAAACTATTAAGTAATCCTGGCCCTTATGACAATCAGAAGGTAGGGCCAGGCACATTTTCAGCAGTGCCACTGAGTGACTGTACAGATCAAGCATTTTAGAAATCTCTCTACCCTGGATCAGTAAGATTTAAAATAACAAGTGTGCCTCCTGCAAGCTATAAAAATCTCGTGAAGATCTGTGAAATTATTGAAAGATTTGCCAGCTATATGGGGAATTGGAGTCATGGTGTGTGACAGGTTCACCAGATGTGCTTGTGTAAGGCAGCCTTCAAAGTCTTAGCTCTAATGAGGGTGAACTCTGCTCTCCAAGCTTTCCGGTGATGAGCATTATAGGGCTTTACTATAAGGAGCCTACAACAACATGACTTGTATAATGCTTGTCTCTGGGAATAATGTGATTAGCAGTACTACTGCTGTGAGGTGCAGGAAAAGTCATGGAGGTGTTCCATTTAATATGGTACATTTTAAACACTGCTCTTACCCGAGTAAATTGGTCACTAGGTGGCAGAAGGAAAATATGTCTACTCCTCAAAACATTCCAGTACATGTGCTCTTGTATTCCTCTTTGTCTAGCTCCTGGGTGGTTGTTCTAGTTCCTTTGTCTGGGATATGTGACTGAAAATCACCCCAGGTTACAAATCCACATGTGCTACATAATGGTTCTTGTAAGGGATCCATGATTTGCCTTTGAGAAAGATTTTGAATGAAAGAAGAAATAGCCAGGTGTGGGAAGAGGAAGAAGTTAATGCAACTTCCTATATTTTGAACAGATGCATGAAAATAGGTTTACCTTTCAGTTTTATCCTTTCTTACTTTACAAGCATTTGTTCTTCAGTTTCTGAGTTTGAACCATCAAGCAACTTTGTTCTGTAGACTGCTATGTCAAATCAAAGAGATTTGGTAACTTCTCATGTTCAATTAAAAATAATAGGGCTAACCTGAAGCTTTAAATTAAGTAACCAGGTATCTTTTCTCCTACTAAATGTTTCAGCTGTGTAGTTTTTGGGTTTGGGTGCTAGGATAGGACTACTTAGAACATGTCATGAACTACCCATTTCCTAAGACATTGACAGCAGTGTAATAGGTTGTGTGCTGTCCTGCCTATAACACCACAATGTAATGCATATTTTTTTTCAAGGTAAATGTAAGTATGGCACATATATTTTAGAAATGCTCTGCCTCAGTTGAAACAAATTCTGTCTTTCAATGTTTTTCCTCTCTAGACCATAACATCTTTTCATTCTGACAGTAACCATCTTGGGATAGGTAATTTTAACCTAACTATGCCAATAAAATTACATTTTTTATTGCTATATAAATAATTTTGAACGAAACCCACCAGATTGTGTCTGTCCACTAAATCCTTATGTGTCTTTTTTTTTCCTAAAATACTGCTTTCAAGTTTTTTTTTCCTTCTTAGTTCCACTGGAAATTATTAGGCTTGTTCTCAAGGTACCTTCTGCTGAAGCATTACCAAGAGTTTTAGCTTCTGTTTAATATTTTAGTTTAAAGAGGCAGCATGAATGCTACCAGTATGTCTTTTAGAAATTGCATAATACCATATCTAAGTAGTGGAACACTTTTCTGGGAGTACTCTTTAGATTATTTTAGACTGTCAGTGGATAAAGACAGTAAATATTATGAAGGATATGAAACAGCCGAGGGCTGCACAGCCATGTCAGTGAAAGGACTTAAAAAATTAAATTATTTTTGATTGATTATCTTCCTGTGCATCACCAACTGTGACATGAGATGAGATAGTTGCATTTAGGTGACAGCACAGACCTCCGTGCATTGGGACTGGAAGGCTGCATAACCTCCATTGAAAACACTGAAAGAGCTGTTTGGTGAAATTGCAGGGCTGGGAGCACATTTTTACAGTAAAATTTACTTAGTTTGATGCTGTCTCATGTGAATGGTGAGTTGTGTTGACAATGCCTCTATTGAGAAGAGGAAAGGAAAAGCGATCCAGGCAACTAGAGTTGTTAATTGTTATATGTTTTACAACAAATTTAGAGTGGATGAAAAGCGAAAAGCTGAAGACTTGGAACTAATTGAAAAGTGGAATGGAGTGAAATATGGTTTCTTAAGCAAAGGTGTTGCCTCTGCCAGGATTTCTTTAGAGTTCTAGTTAATGTCTTATAGAAACAAATCAATCTACCCAGATACCACATGGAAAGCAATTTGCTAATCTAGTGTGTGGTGTAGAGGAAATTTTAAGTGGGATTAGGCAGCAAGGGAAAAGTAAACAAGCAGTACTGAAAGGAGAAGTGGCAGTCAACTGGCAAATAATTTTTGATTCTTGTTTTGTATTTAAATTAATATTTTTGTGCCAATTTAACTTGCCACAAAAAAGAGACATGCACTGAATTTGCTAATGACACCAAGCTGGGAAGCACCATCACCACAAAAGGCAAATGAGGCTGTTGCACAGGAAGAATTGGATGACTCTGTGTTGGAATCATGGAAATGGGATAATGTTTAGAGATGTAATGGAAATGGGATAATGTTTAGAGGTGCAGAGCAGCAGGCTGTGTTCCTGGAAACTGTAACAAGAGTTTTTGCTAGAAGCTGGGAACTCAGCAGTAGAGGAGAAGACAGATTTGGATGTATCAGCAGAAACTGGACCAGGCTGAACTTCCATTTGGCACATTACCTTTTCCTGGTGGTGATGGGAAGGGCTGGCTGCTTGGGAAGGGGTGAGGCACAGTCAGGTGCCACCTTTGGCTTTGGCAGTGAGGGGTGGAGGCTGCGTGTGACAGTGGTTATTTGGCACTTGTATGCAATGGGAAGAACCTGCAGGAAGGCAAGGTGTCTTCAGAGTCCAGTTCTGGCCATTACAGCCCTCAGGGTTATTCTATGTGATTAATCTTCTGAGATTGCCTTGAAGGGGGAGCAGTATAATAATGCTGTGGATGCAAATGTAAACAAAATCCCAGATTGCTGAGGTGTTCCCACAGAAAGAAGAGATACCTGTGCCATTATAGGGGGATCTGCTGAGAAAACAGCTGGAGTATTTTGTGTACAACCACAGTCAAGAAAGATATGTTAACATTAGGAGGGAGAGGGAAAAAAAAGCATTGACAAAGTGAATGGGTAATTATGTTCAGCTTGTGTTCCAAAAGGAGACTGACTTACTTTGGTAAATGAAGGGAGGGCACAAGCCCGATGCAAGTATCTCAGTGTGGTGGACACACCCAGGAGTGAACAGCTGAAACTATTGCAGAAATTTAGTACAGGAGTAGGAATAACATCAGTTTTGGAAACAAGGCTTTTGTTCCAGTGTGTTAGTGCAGGTCTAATAGTTCTCCCTGATGGAAAGGACAGCTGATTTTTAAATGTTTAAGACAGATACTGGTTGCCTGAAATTATGAGATGGGATTGCCAGGGGTGGGAGTAGATTTTGCAGCCCTGTATACCTATCTGTTGGCATACCCTCTTAGAAAGAAGCCATCACAGCAACTTTATTTAAAGCTATTTTGTGAAAGTAGTACCTGAAGAGATGACTGGGAAAATTATGGTTACTCCTGCTGCCTAGTTTCAGATGACATTTTTAAAAAATCATTATTTCTAGTCTATGCTCACTTACCTGCTGACTGAGAATTGCAGGTTGGACCAATTTGGGACCAGCATTAAGAATCTTATTACTTGTGAAAACCACAACTACTTTAAATCTTGATTTAATTATGGAACTGGGGGTAAAAAAAAAAAAGAAGAAAAAAAAGAATAATTCAGTGTCACTAAATGAGAGCCGAGGTGATGCTGAGAGCACGTCTGCCCGCTGGCCGCCCTTCTCCATCGTTCCGCTGGCGGGACGTTCCGCAGGGGCAGGAGAAGCAGCGGTCCCGGGCACAGCGCGTCCCGCGGGATCGGGGCCGCACCGGGGCTGCCGGCGCCCTCCCGGCCCCGGGCCGTCCTTCCCCGTTTCATTTTTGGGTTTCTGCTCCGCCCCGCTGGGCCGAGCTGCGCCGGCTGCCCCGGGCTCGGGGGCTCTCGGGTGCCCCGGCGTGTGCCGCCCTCCCTGCCCTGCTCTTCAGCTCCTGCCGTAACTCGGTGTCACTCAGGAAAAAACAAAACCCAACCGCAACTAGATAAACCAATTGTTCTGTGATGTGCAGAAAAATTTTTCTACTAGGAATGCCAGTCCATTGCGGAACAAGAGGAGTATGTAGCAGACAACAACTACCTTTCATTTCATTGTCCTGTTTTCTTGTTCTTACTATTTTTTTAATGGTTACATTTGGATTCTATTTTATCTCTCCTTAAATCTTGAAAACTCCACAGGGTGTATTTTTGCCGTTTCCTTTTTACACCAGACTACTACACTTTTTACACCAGCTTTCTGCTTAAACACAACTCTGAGCTTCGTTTCCATTGCAAAAAGCTGAGTTAGGAGTACTGAACAACACAAGAGTTCGCTTGGAAGCAAGAAATAAAAGTAGTGGGAAGAGAAACTGCTCCCTCCTAAGTCGTCGTGGGCAAACGGCAACTGGGAGGGGTGTAATCGCTGCCTTTTTGTTTTTCCACTGCGAGGTTATTTGTGTGTCTCCAGCTGCCTCTCAACCCGCCTTCGTCTAGGACGCTTTTGTCCAGCCAGCTGGGATTCTTTAACTTGCTGCTGATAGTGTTTAGAAGCTGAGTTGAGAGTCCTAAAGTAGCTCCCTGCTCAGCCCCCTCCGTTAAGCCAGCGCAGCTGCTTTTCAGGCACCCTGAATGGTGGGAGGGGAAGCGATTTCCTTCAGCACTGAGAGAGGAGGAGCGTGAGCCCCGATGCTTCAAAGGCAAAATGTTACTTCGCCCCCATCAGCTGAACTGCACTGTGGAAGTATTAACCAGAAGCTCTGGCCCACTTGGGACAGTGTGGCTTGATCACTGATGTAGCATCGGTGTGCTGCAAAAATTATTGAAACCTGGGTGTCTTTGGAGCTTCTTTAGGGCTTTTGGTGCAGCCCTTAAATAAATACAACCTATGAAAAGCATTTTAATTGTTTATGAAGCTGGCGTGCAAATGAGAGGCGAGACATGGATAGTTTGTAGTTGAGCAAAGCAGATATTGCCGGGCAGGAAGGCTTTAATGAAACAAGGGCAGAGAACCTTGGTTTTCCTCCATCAAAGACAGCACGTGTGAAACTTCCCTGTTCCTTTTCAGTGATGATAGTGTCAGATGTTACTTCTGACGGGTGGCTAGTGTAGCATCTTCAATATGTGTTTTGGATGCTCTGGTGTTCAGCTGGTTGTGACACAGCCACCTATGTGAGGCTGTTCCTGCATTCATACCTTTGGTTGGCCAGGAAGTGTGTCAGTTGTATAATATTCTTATGGGTCTGTATGATTTTTCACTTCTAGGGAAAGAAAATACCCCAGGAATTTGGTGATGGGGATATTCCAAAATTTGATGGAGCAGGTTACGACAAAGACCTGATCGAAGCTCTTGAAAGAGACATTGTGTCAAGGAATCCAAGCATTCATTGGTATGAGGATTTTCTCAATTTAAGTGTTTTGCTAGTGTGAGAAAGGGTGGAAATTGCCCATCTTAAAACTCCTAAAATAGGGAGACAAGATAATCTTCTACAGACAGGCAAAAATGAGATCTTTTGCTTTAACAGTTTATTAATTTGATTAAAGTTAAGCTTTTGATGCTAATTGATATTAAGTGCAGTACATTCATTACAGGTACTGCTGAAATGAGCATATGCTCCAGAGATCTTTAAAGATACTGCTTTGGTGTTCACATTGTCCAAAACAATTTTTAATTAAGCAGCTCTGGGTAACTTGAGTTGAAAATAATTTTTTCCCTGTCTTCCAAAAGTAGATTCAATTTTAGGTCACAGTATGATAGGAGTGCTCTCATGAGGCATATGCTTGCATACTAAAAGAAATGGTACTAAGTGAAAAGCTTTTCTATTTCTCTTGTATAAAAATAGAAGAAATAGAGTTGTATGAGAATCTTATACAAGTTTCTTCATCTTGCACAGGGATGACATAGCAGATTTGGAAGAAGCCAAGAAATTATTAAGAGAAGCTGTTGTTCTTCCAATGTGGATGCCTGATTTTTTCAAAGGGATCAGAAGACCTTGGAAGGTGAGAATTTATGTGGTGGTCTAGTAAATGGCAAGCTGTAGCTATGTGAGACTCCTGCTGTAACGTGTGGAGGTCTGTAGCAAAGGCTAAAAAGAAAAGTTCATGAATTTGTTTATTAAATCCTCTCATAATGATTCATGTAAAAGGCACTGAAAGAAACAGCTAGAAGTGTATCTGGCCCTTAGAGTAAACAGTATTTTCTGTTTATTTACTCACTTATAGTTTGTTGCAATTATAATACTTTCTATATGCCAACCTGTAGACGTGAGCAAACAAATTATATTGACTGAAGCAGAAATGCTTAACAGAGAGCTCCACATAGGCTTATGGTGTCCAGTTGTCATCACTTCCCAGAAGAAAGCAATCCTTGGACTGTTTTTCTCCAATGTTTCAACTATCTCTCACTCAGACTGCAAACTGCAGCTTGCATGGTACAAGGAAGCAAGGAAAGAGGGGGCCAGTCTGGTGACTTAGATTTGCAGCTGGGCATAGTTGCAGCTGGAGTGGGAAATTCAGAGTAGGAGAAGGAGTTGCAGACAGGGCAGCAGGAAGGATATAGGACTGAACTAGGCTGACTGACCAGAAGTGAGCCCAGTCTGGGCCTTGCTTAGAGCTAAGAAGGAAGAGGAGGGAGGAGTTTGGCAAGCATTTCTATAAACAGCAAGCAGCAGCATTTTGCTTCCAATATGGAATGGATTGATGCTTGTTTGGGGAATATCTAGTCACAACACAAGGCCTTTTTGGTTATTGAGAAGCATTCCTGGGGAAAAGAGACTTGCAAGTTGTCTGTTGCTCTGAGTGTGGAAGGAAGTGGCGTGTGTAGGGAATGCTGTGTGCATGAGTAGTTTCCTGTTCAGTACGCTGGTTCAGCAGCGTGTGTCGGATCTTGCTCTGCTAACACTTGTTCTGTCTTTTCCTGATCCGTCCTTGTGCTTCCCTGGCTTATACCTAGGTCAGACTCAGCAGGGGCTGGGAGATTGCTGCTTGAGAGCTGCTACAGAGGTTTTAGTGAGTTGCAGGGAGGGAGCCCAAACATATGCTTAGTGCAAACCTGGCCCCAGCCTTTGGAGTTAGAGTGCTTGTGGTCAGTACCAGTGGCCTTGTGGTTAACCTTAGGGTTAACTGAGCCATCATCTTGGACAGAGCCTAGATGTTGTGGGTTACATGTTTAGGGTGAGATTTTAGAGTATTTTGAACAGCTGAATCTCTTTCTTCTCAGCTTAGAGGAAGTTGATCCATACTCTTGTTATAGACTATGGGGGCCCCATCTGTCTAGTGTTCAAAATCTTCTAACGGAATAAAGATCTGCTCTGCTTTCTTTTCGCCTGTTAGCATGCATAGAGGAGGCAGTGGCCATCTGTCTTTAAGGCAGGTACTTCAGCAGACTGCAGGAAATGTGAAAAATGCCACTGACCTTGTCTCCAAGTGCTGTGGCAGGGGATAAAGGAGCAACAGCTTGGTCCTTTAAAGAGTTACAGTCTCCATCTCTTTGCACAAGACTAGCTTTTCCTACCGAGCAGTGTCACCTCTGAAAACCAGGTGGTTGTAGACATGGAAAAGATTCTAAGATTATTTCCTCTCTTCAGTCTGAAATGCAAATTGATTTCTGACAAGGCTATGAAGAGTCTTCATTGTTAGCCTTTTCCCTGGTGACTTGTGAAGCTGTAACTCTCGTGAATTTATTTTTCACACAGAACAGCATGTATTTTCCCTACTGTTGACCTCTGACTGTGCTATAAGGATGAAAAGTATTGAAGGGAAGGCTGTTTCTTGCAGTAATCAGTGTAGCAGCAGGCATTTGTTGAGCCTAGGAATTCAGGACAATAATTCAGGGAAAAAGGCAGCCGAAGCTGGTTTTGGATGCTCAGGCTCCCCTGAGAACAATTCCCAAGACAGCCCTCACAGTTTGTGCTGGTATTCAGAGAATTGTGCCTTGTCTGAAGGAGCCAGCTGTCTTCCCTGATTCAACACAGGTGCTGGCTGTGTAGTTGCAGCCACGGGTTTCTGCGTGTCCATGGGTTTGCTCTTTCTGTTTCTCTGAAATGTTTTGTGCCAAGAAAGCCTGGTTGCTCACTGTGCTTCCCACTGCTCTGCTAGTGATTGTTACAACAACAAGAAGTAACCCTGCAGTGATTTCATCAAAACACTTACTCCCTGCGGTGCATTTCAGCTTCTTATTGGAATACTTTGGATTAACAGAGCCTTAGAGGAAGAATAAAGAAGTCTTTGTGTTTGTCAAGGATTTTAAATAGTAAGTGGCAGCCTCCTAGTTTGCAGAAAGAGCAACTTGATCCTATGTGTTTCTGTTTGCAGCCATGCACATCTTGTTTTGCTGTGAACTCAAGTTCTTTTTTTTTTTTTTTTCTTTTTTTTTTAAACTGATATTTCTACTGTCTCTATCCCCTGAGACCTTACTTTCCCCCTGGCTTTACACCTGGTGTGGCTGCTTTGCACCTGTGTTATGCATATGTATAATGCCACCAGTATCACGTGCAGGGTAATGCTTCTTGTAGTACTTAGCAGGAGGTGAAAAGCAATGGATGGGTTTCAGTTTTTGCATGTGTACCTGAAGTCAGGATTTGACCTTCCAGAATAATGGAGAATTGAACTAATATCCCAAAAATGTCATTACTTCCCTATATCACCAGGTCCTGCACTAAACACAGTTTATCAAACACATGCTTTGAATGTGATTTGAATTGAGGTGAAGTTTTTAAAAAAATATTAAATGAACACATTTGAAGCTCAGAGAGAGCAGTAAGTCATCTCTGACCTGCATATTACAGGCTGAGTAATTTTCACCCAGTCACTCCAGGGCTGTATTTGCAATATTGCTGTAATATCAGTATAACTGTGCAGCATCTCAAATCAGAATGTCTGAGTGTTCACGGGGAGAAAAGAGAGTCCATTTGCTTTTTATGCTTGCTGCTCTGGAGCTTAGGAAACCTTGGACAGCCTGAGGAGTGACTTTGGACTGTTAGCTGTAGAGGTGGTGTGTGAACATTTCTGATTTAATTTACCGATGAATGTATGTTGAGCTTGCATTAGCTAAGTATTAAATGGCAATAAAGGTATTAAGAGTTAATGGAAAATGGAATACAGACAGGCTATTGCTTTTGAATGGGACATTTTTGAATAATTGCATTCCCGGTTGATTTGTTTTTATAGATCTCTTCCATGTCATTCTTTGTGCTTTTTGAAGTAGATTTTTGTGAGGAACAGATGAAATCTAATTTGCTGTATGGCTTGCATTTAACAGATATTTTATTGCTGCGGCATTTTATGTAAGTTATTAATTGCAAAGCACATTATGATGTGCAATTCTAACACTAGCTAATTTGATTACCCTTGCAATACAGTACAATTTTAGGAAACTCTTGTTAGCATGTAATAAGATCTTGCAATTGGGAGGAGAAAAAAACCCCCAAGCTGCTTGAGCACTACATTTTCACTGATTTACTTAAAATCACAGGGCCCTATACTAGCACTGTGTAGAGCATGGAACAGTGTTTTGTCCTTCTCCAGTGCTGCTGCTGAAAGGGTTGGAAAGACTACCCATAAAGATGGCTGTATTTAGTAGTATTATCAAGAGTGATTTAACCCATCTCAGTGATACAATCTTAACATGAGTTCTGAGAGAACTGTGTGTAAAACCAAAAAATTGTTTGTGTAATGATGGATAAATGTGCTGAGTTGCAGACATGTGTGCTTCTTTCTTTCACAGACCACAGATGGAAAGATAGTCTGATGAAGTGGATATAAGAGTTGTTTCTAGTTTAAAGCTTTCTGAATAATCACTGAAATTCAGATTAGGCTTTTGTGGGACTAAGCACTAGTCCACATGAGCCACAGTTGCGTATCTGTAAAATAGGAATAGCAGTGCAGTCCAGTCATCCAGCATGATGAGGATGGTGTTTCATCCAGAGATTGCTATGATGCTGTAGTGTGGTCATAGGAACATTGAGATCGGGAGATTAGGCAAAAAACAAACTGATGTGTTCAGTGAATGCTCTCATGCAAATGTAAACATCAACCAGATTCATACATATTGTCAGGATATTTTGGGAAATTGTTTTTCTGTAGAAAATTTCTCTACTGAGGAAACAAAACTTACTGCAAAAGTATTTTGGTTTCTGTGAAACTTTCTCGTGAAGGGGCCTTTGTTCCAAAAACAGAGTTTACCATCTTCATCTGCCTGTGCAGCTCCTTGTGAGCTGGGAAAGGCCTAAGTTCAAGTCTAGACTCTGATGCTGAGCAAGGCTGTAAATATCTTGTCCATTTCCTAGGTGTTAGAACAAGCAACAGATATTGGCTTTTGTGGTTTTGACTCCAGTGGAGTGGTAAGAATGGCAGAACACTTCCACACTGTCCTCAAAAGCAGGATACTTGTCTTCTGTTTCCCACTGAAGAGGATTATGTTATTAATTTTAATCCAGATCTTGGCTTATATAGAGGTGTTGTGTAAAGTACCAATGACAAATTTTTTGTTCTTAATTTGTTGTTCATTACCTTTGTTCTCACCTTTCAGGGTGTGCTGATGGTTGGTCCTCCTGGCACTGGTAAAACAATGCTAGCAAAAGCTGTTGCTACAGAGTGTGGGACAACATTCTTCAACGTGTCCTCCTCTACACTGACGTCTAAGTACAGAGGCGAGTCTGAGAAGCTGGTCCGCCTCTTGTTTGAAATGGTATGTCCTCCATGACGTGATCTGGGGCTCATTCAGGTGAGAAAGGACAGCACTCTTGGTTTCCTGCCTTTCCAGTAGCTTGCTGGAAGCATGGAGTTCACTGAACTGACACCCTCTGAACCAAGACACCCCCTGAACCAATTAGAAAAACATAATTTCTGGGTTACCACATATGGTATGTTATTGAGGATTAAGAAGGAAATGCTTCATCACCCATGTTGAGGATAGCATTTTCCAGACTAAATCAAGAGTCGTGACCTCAACAGAAATTCAGTACTTGTTTGGTTATGGGGTAACAATCCCATGTGAAGTAGATTTGAAATTGGAAGGGGTTTGGAACAGTTATTCTAGAAGCCATACGTGGTTTTGTTCTGTTTTTTTTCTGAATCATGGTCACAAGCCTCTCAGTGAAGCTGTGGGTGCAGTCCATCATGTAGGGTGTGTGAAGGACATGTCCATGTAGGCTACACCTCTGGGACCCTCCCTGCATTCCTGCAATCTTCACAGCTAAAACCTGAGTCTCTTGGGATTGCTGAGCTCCCTTCTGTCCCTTATGCCTAACCCTCACCAGCCTAAAACCTGGATGTGAAAACTGCTTGTATTGTGTCAAGAAGAGTATCCTATTGTGGCAGTGTTTCTTTTCCCCTTTCCAATGTCATTTGCTGGGGCAAGCCAACCAACACTGACCCAAGGAGTACAATTCAAAGTGTATAAAGCATGTGACAGTTTGTAAATGAAGGTCTTGAATTCCTCCCTTGTGACAGTCAGGGAAGATATGTATGCAGTATGTCCAGCAGGGCTGGGTTGTGGTCTGATGAGGGCCTGTGCTTGCTGAGCAGCCTTAACAGTGATGTTTTCATTTGAATAAAGGCACGGTTTTATGCGCCAACAACGATCTTCATTGACGAGATAGATTCCATCTGCAGCCGCAGAGGCACGTCTGACGAGCACGAGGCCAGTCGCAGAGTCAAGTCAGAGCTGCTTGTGCAAATGGATGGTAACAAGGACTTAGATCTGGCTTTGGGGCTGGGATGCTGCTTCTTTACAGGTGGGAATGTAAGAACTCGAGCCATCTGGAAAACCTGGCTTTATGCGTGAGAGAAAAATGAAGCGCAACTTGAGATGAGTGTATTTTTGGAGTGTTCAACAACAGATAACTGAAAAGGGTGTTCTGCTTTATTTTTTCTAAAATGGCTATTTTTAGGGTGACTTGAAAGCACATATTAAAGAGACACAGACTGCACGAGAAGCAGATAATGGAGATTTGTGCAGTTTAATGCAGATATTTAATTTGTATTCAGTTTAAACAAAATTCTGCCCTTTGCTAGACTCTCCAACTGTGGAACCCCTTGTGAGATCTGCTTTTGCTGTATTCTATGATGGCAGCTAATACTACCCTTTTAAGTCAGGTGTAGTACCTGTTTTGTGCAGGTGCACGCAGCAAGCATGACCATCTAAGGAATATTGTATGGTGTAGAGGTTTGATAGCCACCTTTATATTGCAGCTATCATGAACTGCTGTATAAACTGCTGTATATAAACTACTATTTTAAATGTTCTCAAATTTGCAGGTTCATTGTGGTAAGCTCAGGATAGGAAAGCTTTTGGTCTCTTTGCAGTCCTCACTTGGTAAGCTGAGTGAGTCCTGTTTCTTCTATGAGCAGACTTGACAGAGATAGCACTGTCAGTGGGACTAGTAGGGCTACACTCACATATTGCTGTGTTATTAGCAGTGTCCAAGAAAGACCTCCCCTTACTCAGCAAAATAATGAACTGTCCCTCTCTCTGTAATAATGATGGTCTTGTGACACCTAGCTATGGGAAGTTTGGAAAGGACTATAGAGAGCTGTTGCTTAACTTTGTCCAGGCTATGTTTGTCTGTGCAGTCTTTCTCAGCAAACATCTCCATCAATAAGAGCTCTGGAGTAAAATTGCTCTGAACTGTTGTGCTTGCAGGGGTAGGTGGTGCTCTGGAAAACGATGACCCTTCCAAGATGGTTATGGTATTATCTGCTACAAATTTTCCCTGGGACATTGACGAAGCTCTCCGACGAAGACTGGAAAAGAGGATTTATATACCTTTGCCCACAGGTGTGTTTGAGAAGACCATTTTCTTTTCCTCTCTATACAAGATGAGTTTAGGATAACTGCAGGACTGTTGTGCTTGTAAGGAATCCTGATGGTTTTGTGATGAGCAGTGTAATTCAGGGGTTAATCATTTGTCTGGATCGCTTTATTTTTGAAGAGTGGAAAAAAGAGAAATGCTGCTTGCTTGGGGGCTGAAAAACAAAGAGCTGTGGCATTTCATTGCAAGCCATTGATGGGTTCTTATATTTTGAAAGAGAGTTAGTTTTAATGAGCCTGGAATTATTTTAAATGTTTAACAGTCAGCCCTTGAGTGATCATCAAAGGCAGCCTTTGGACATGTTCACAAATATTGCAAATGCACTCCATGCCCTTGCAGACAAATGGAAAGAAGTAGATCCATGAATTTTCACTTACAGGCTTAGTTCATTGCAAATCACTGCTTGCTTGCCTTTATTACTGTGCTTCCAGTCACTCAGAATGCAGCAGGCTGATTGCTTTCCTGCCCTAAGACATCTCAGCTTGTATTGTCTTTCCTAGCTGTCATTCACCTGTCCTATTAATTTTGAGATTCCTATCACTTGAAGTTTGCATAGCTCCCTTTCTTCTTGGTACAGTGGATGCCTCATCTGCCTGCATGAGCAGTCAAGATAACAAGATGCATGTCCATGGTGACAGTGGTTGTGATTGAGTTTAGCAGGTCTAAGGACACTTAATAGTTCTACAGCTTGTCTGTGCAGCTTACAGGCAGTAACAGCCCCTACAGGATGCCTGTCTTTATCACCAATTAGTTTAAAATCCTATCAGCTCTTCCTCTTGTTTCTAATTAAACCAGATTGTTTTTTAACACAGTGTATTACACCCTGGACAACTTAGGAGATGTGATCTGGTTTTATTTCCAGTCTTAGTTTCTGTTGTATCTATTCTGCAAGTAAGAATGTTGTGCTACTCTGGGCAAGTCTTAGTGATGCATTTATAACTGTGTTGTGTGATTTGATGTAGTCAGGCATTTTAACTGAAAAAGTGGCATGGTAGCAAATATGCATCTGTGTATCGTGGAATTTGATGCAAGCATATATTCTGTAGTGTTTAATTTTCAAAATGCTGCACAGACTTGCTTAGCCCCATAGCAACAATTAGAAGAATGTTCTCTGATGCAGGATACTCTCTGCAGGTATACTGTGTGTACATTGTGCCCTCTAAATAATAAATCCCCATTTTATAGCTAGTGCCAGTTGTGTGTGATGGATAACTCTGTGCTCTTGACAGTTCTGCAAAGCACACAAAACCAGCAGCTCTAGAGAAGCTTTCTATTTTCTTTTGTATTTCTCCTTCCCCAAAAGTTAAAAAAATAAGAATTAGGGGCAACAATGAATAAAACATAATGTATTTTATTGGACATTTCTTTAAGGCGTTTAGCCTTTCCTCCTGCTACTTCTGCTGTTGCGGTTGTCCTTTTTTATAGGTCATAAAAATTGATCACTTGGGGAATAAAGATGCTGAGCTGGCGTATTTTTCCTGTACAGTGAAAGCCAGGAAACCAGTCATGCTCTTCTTTCCCACCCTTGTGCACAGTAACACAGAGCCCTAAGCTGTCAAATTCCCTCTTACAAGCTTAGGCTGCTTAACATGTGCACCCAAATGCACATATGCACATGCCCCCTGCAAGAGGAATGGTTAATTGACTGCATAAGTGCTCATTTACACAGCTGGCTATCACTGTGTGCACACTGCATCTGGGTAGGAAAGTGGGATACCAAGACATTTCTGTCGAAAATATATTAATATAGGTTTATTAATGTGTCTGTTTTCTATCAGACTTGAGCTGATTTCTTGGGTCCCAGCTGAATAAACTGAATAAACTGCTTAAACATATGCTTAAAGTTCAGCCTGTTGTTAAGGGGTTTGTGCTGTCTGAAGCTTTTTTAATAGAATCCTTGTTGTAGTTCTAATGAAACCCTATGAATAATATGCAGTCAAACCCTCGAATAGGGAGTGGATCCAAAGGGATGTGAGAAGAAACAGAAATTTGTAGGATTGTGCTTTTGTGCCCTTGGGTAATGTGCGACCAAATGCTTTATCACCTGAGACATAAGAGACATTTTTAGTGACAGATCACTTTGACAAATATCTTTCGACCATGCTGTTTTAATATACTGCATTTAACCAAATACTTTACTGTATTTGATTGCACACTTCACTATGACTTGTTCTCTCTCTTTTCTTATATTGAACTCTTTTGTTCATACTTTTCACTGAAAAATCTAGGTTGTGTTTATATCTTTTTTTAGTGCAACTCTTGCCAGTCTTCAAACAAATATTTTTATGTTCTAGCAAAGGGCAGAGCAGAACTACTGAAGATTAATCTTCGGGAAGTAGAACTAGATCCTGATATCAGCCTTGAAGAAATTGCAGAGAAGATTGAAGGCTATTCTGGTGCTGACATCACTAATGTTTGCAGGTAACACACTGCCCTTTATTTGCGAATAGAACTGCATGGGAACTCATCATTTGCATTATATGATGAAAGGCAATACCCACTACAGCTGAAGCCATGCTCACAGTGTCTGTGTATTAGGCCCACGTCTATTTACTGTATTCATGTATTACTGTCATGTGGAGTGGTCCAAATACCATGAAGTCTTTCTGTGAGATGTGTTTTTCTTGGATCTGAAGTGAAAAAAATTATCTGAGCTAATCTCATGTTACAATTGGCTGCATTTACTGTAGTTATCTGCATTTGTTAATGTAGTGCAAAGCAGATTGTTGGGGTTTTTTTTAAATCCCATTAGTTTAAGAGCTAGACCATAATCCAAAAAAATTCCTTTCACAGAACACTTCTTCGGGACTTCTATGTGTTGCATGTTTGGACAGCCCCCAGTGCAGCTGAATCTTGGTGTCTTCCTGAATCTTCTAGGGGGATATAGATTATAATATTAGTATTTAATTTATTTCTGTCCTGTTCCCACAATTTATTTCATTTTTGACAAATCAGTCTTTTCTGGTGAAGGGTAGGTATTTGAAGAAACTTATCTGAAGGAAGTCTATGTCCCTTAAGAATCCTGTCAAGAGAAACTGATCATGTAAGAGTATGGCTTGGGAATCTTTTTTCTTCTCCCCCTGCTGCCTTCCTGAAAATGTGAAATCACTCCATGGATTTGAAAACTCGGTGTGTGTCACGTAGTAGTGAAATTACCTTTCTCCCTAAGGCTGGTGTTATCCCTTGCTGGGAAAAACCCAGGGAAAAAGAAAATGTAATTTCAGACTGCCTGTGGGCCACAGTGTGAGAAAATGAGCAGTGTTCTTCAAGCTGGTGGGCCAGGCTGGCAGGATCTGAGCTGGGGAGGAGTTGCAGAGCAGGCAGAGCATGAGGAGCCACAGGCACCCATGGCCTCAGCACTGCAGGGCCATGTGGTGCTGTGTCTGATGCCTCCTGCTCTGACCTTCACACATCCAGGTGCTATGGACAAGCAGGCAGCTCAGCTGGGCTGCACTCTCAACCCTTGCTGACTGTCGTTTGGGGCTACACTGCAGGGAGAAAGTTGAAGTCTAAAAGAAATGCAGTGTAAAAATCCAGATTACTTTAAAAAAAAAGTCTTTTGAGTTTGTCTCTTACCCTGCCCTTTTCTGCTCTAAAGTTGTAAAATTTCATCTCCATGAATCATTGTAAAAGGTTTTCAGTTTTATAGTTTTAATTATCTCTGCACATTTACCATATGCTTAAATGGGTTTTGGTGCCAGTGCATTCTTTATGTTGAATTAATGTAGCGATCTGGGAACATGGAAGCTATGAAAGATGTGAACTGCATCTTCTATGGTAAATAAATGCTGTCTCAAGTGTTCCTGCCACTGGTTTCTAGCAAGAGTATACAATCAAAATTCATAGGCTTACAGCACATTTTGCTAGCAATTAGCTGCCATGCATTGTCCTGTATTTCCAGGGATGCATCTTTAATGGCAATGAGAAGACGTATTAATGGCTTAACTCCAGAAGAGATTCGTGCACTTTCTAAAGAAGAGCTTCAGATGCCGGTTACCAAGGGGGACTTTGAGCTGGCTCTGAAGAAAATCTCCAAATCTGTTTCTGCTGCAGACCTGGAGAAGTATGAAAAATGGATGGCGGAGTTTGGATCTGCTTAATCTCAGTGACAGCTTTCCTTTGCTGGAGTTTTATGGTTTTTGTTGTTCTCACTTTCAAAATGAGTTAGAAATATTTTTAAAGGTTTAATAAAAGGTCTGCCTCTGCCCTCATCCCACCCCTTTCTGCTGACAGGATCTTTTAAGCTGTTTGCCTTTAAAGGGAATGAGCACAATAATGAGCTGATATTGTAAAAGATATTTTATCTCTGAAGTAGAAAAATAAGACAAACAGGAAGGGAAAAATCATACTTCTGAGGGTAGTCTTTTTAATTTTCAAATGAAGAGCAGTGTTACTTAACTTCCTCCTAGTCATTTTTTTTATGGCTGGAGTCAATAAATCAGCTGGGGGATGTGACTCCAAAGGAACAGACAAGGGCTTGATGTACCCCCTGCTCTTAAATGCTGCTTCTGCCTCCCTTGAATGTGGCATCCAAGTTATTATTCTTTCTCTCTGTGCTCGGATATTCAGAGCAAAGCCTGTGGATTAATTGGCATTGCACAGAGGAAATGAGGATCAGTTTTCCATCAAGACATGGGCCTGACTCTCCTCTTATGTACTCTCATTTGGAATTGATGTCACTTCAGACTGTTATCAGTGTTACCTGCAATGACTTCTGATGGGAATGAGAGGGAAAGCAAAAGGCATGGATTGCTCTTAGTCTGGTTTATGCTTGTTCTCTGAACATAGTTTGAACCTGTTTGACCAGTAGGCACTTTGACTTAGGTTATAACTTGCACTTTTATGCTTATGTATCATCTTGTGCTTTGTCTGTGCTATCTAAATGTAATTGTTATTACTATTGTTATTATTATTTTAGTACTAAGAGTTTAATAAAGACACTAATTTCAAGGCTGTATTTAAAACACAACGCTGTCTTTAGAACAAATGGCTGTGAACTTCCACTTCTGATTAGATATGAACTTTTTCCTAGCATTACTAGGCAATGGGACTTTTACCTTTTTATGTTGAACTGTTCATGCTTAATTTTGTTTTTTGTGAAGGTTTCTTAAAAATGTATAAATATTACTGGTTTAGTAATATTTAGAAAATAATCTGTATGATCTCATTTATGTTCTTAACTGTTTCTTCCCTTCCCTCATACAAGTGCAGTGATGAGAAGTGCTCTAAAGTCTAATGTGGAAATCTTCTCTAGAGTATACCTGTCACACTGACTGTATGAACTTTTCACAGACTCAGCCTGTGAAGTTTTCTTGTGGTAGGAATGTGAAGGAGTGGTCAAACAACAGATTTACAGATAAGCATGCAAGCTCTCAGGTTTTTGGTGATGTTGTGAGCTGGGCCTTAAGTATTTTGGTGGATGTGAATTGCCCTGCAGCTTGGTAGGTATTCCACCCTTCAGCTCTCTGTGTAGTGGCACAGAGAGATGTGATGGAGTAAGAAATGCACAGCACCCCTTATTGAATGGGAATGTATCATTATTTGCTCCTTTTTGTTAGTCCTCAGAAGTTCCCAATAATGTCAGTAATTCAGCACACTGGTCTCTTGGGCCATGACATGTTAATACTAAGACAAAAAACCTTAAATCACATACTTTGTTTGCTCAGGGAAGTGGTAAAATCACCATCCACGGGAGTGTTTAAAAAATGTGTAGATGTGGCACTTGGGTACATGTGAACATTTTGACATGTCAGTGCTGGGTCAGTGGTCAGATTGGATGATCTGAGAGGTCTTTTCCAACCCTAATGATTCTGTAATTCCTCACAGGGAATAACTGGACCTTTATAAAGAGAAAGCTCTGAAAATATTGCTATGGACTCTCATTTTTTCCTTGTGAAGCTGTAGGTGGCGGCTGTTGTTCTTTGTTTGTTTGTTTGCAGTAGAAATTAGTAAAGCTACACAAATCTTTTGTGGCCAATACCAGATTAGCACTATGGGGTCTCTCACTAAAGAGGCCATTGCTACCCAAGGAGCTTAATCTGCACAACCAAAATGTAGAAGGGAGTTGACATGAATGCCAGTAACAACCCTACTCAGCTGCCCAGGAGCAGTGCTGGGATTCAGCAGTTGCTGCTTAGTAGGGTCTGAGTTCCAGTTTGCTCAGTTTCACATTGCAATCAGAAGTGACCTTCCTACTGATCAAAGCACAGCACTTGGTAAAAATGTCAGTCCTTGGCTCTTTGATGAATCTTCTACCTTAAGGCATTAAACTTCCCTCTTGGCTGTTAAGCAAAATTCACTGTACTGGGCATTCCCTTTAGTAGGAATTATTCAGGTGCTGCAGTCTTTTTCTCTAAAGGTCATGGTTTCTACCCCAGAAATGTTTTTACTGTAGAGGTCCATTCATCCTTTACAGCTGCAGAACAGAAAAGTGGAAGTTTTCAGGCAGTAGATGTTTATGATTGTTGTGCCTCAGAATTACTGACATGACTTGGCCCTGCTAGATCAGGCACCCCAGAAGGCTGAGACCATCCCTCCCTTTCAGGAAGGGGAGCTGTCCTTATGTGCTGACCCTTTCATCTTTACCAAGTCATGCTGGCACACGCACCTAGGTGGGCTTGGAGCTGGGTTATTCACTCCAGGGGAGCCAGCAGGGGATGCAGCAAAGGACAGCCCAGGGGGGAAGGGCAGCCAACAGTGGCAGCAGCTCAAGGCCCAAAGGATGAGCTTACAGCTCAAAGTGAGACCAGTTCACATCCCAGTGCTGGAAACCCTTGTGTAAGGACACTGGATTCCTTGGAGAGCAATGTACCAGCATGTCACAGCCTGCTGTGACACTGTTCAGTCTATGCCTGTGTGTGTATGGAGATCATCCACACACGTGGAGTATGCACACACAATAGGGGGTTCTTCAGTAGTTGTGCCTAGATTGCATAAAAAATATGCCTTAGGGCTGTGTTTATGTGTTTTCTGAACATCTGTGAAGGCCCTCTTGGGTGGCACTGTTAGTTTTTGTACAGTATGTGATCTGGTTGTATGAAGTAATAAATGTGTGCTAGAGTCTGTCTGTCTTGCTCGAGTGGGGCTGGGAGTGCTTTGCTGCTGACTGCTTCCAAAGGCTGCCATACAGTGGGGATCTCTTCAGTATGTCATGGTGCCCTTTCACCAAAGTCCTGCATGGAGAGCAGTTAAAATCTGGGGATTTTGGATAAAGCTGTCAGCAGTGCTTTCTCTCTAAATTGGCCTTTTGTTGCCACAAGCTATAAAATGGAGAATACTCCAATGCCCACCACATGGAAGGGAGGGTAGGGGAGAGCAGAGGCCCCGGCAGATGTTCAGTGTTAGCACCTGATTCAGACCTCACAGAGCTAGGCAGCCTTTTTATTACTTGCCCCTGGGCTGGAAGTATAATCAGGCTCCAAAGAAGCTGTATCATCAGCTGCCTGCTAACCAGGAGACTTTCAAGAGCAAAACTTCTATTAGGAAGGAGCTTTCAAACTTGGAATGAGACCCCATGTCTCCTGGGACTTAGTTGATTATTTGAATTTTCTCACTAACTTCCTTATGAAAGAATGGAGTTTCCAGTGTTTCATAATGCTTCAGACATGAAAGCGAGCAAGGGAAATGCTGATCAGGGGATTTCAGGAGAGGTCAAATCTTTGCATAGGAAGTTCAGCTCACCCCAGTTTAAAAGGGACTGAAATAGCAAAGGTGCACTGACTTGTTCTGATCATGGGAAAGATGAAAGAGCTTGTGTGCTGTAAAGAAGTCCTCCATCAAATGAGCAAAGACTTCGTGGTACAATCCAGGCATGAGGACGTGGAAGCAGATGAAGAAATAGTGATTTTTTTTTAAAATCTGTTATTGGAATAAGCCACCCTCAATCAGATTTCGAATTGAGATGTTTTTTCAGAGCTGTAGTGACAAATAAATACGTGATGAACACGCAGGTGACACCGTGCTGCGGGCGAGCAGGCAGGGAGCCTGAGAGTCCTAGAGCTGCACGCTGGTGTAAGGTGGGCGTCAGCACCACGGCAGCAGCTGAGCCGCTCTGTGAGGGTGAGCTGTGCACCAGGCAGCACTGTGTGCAGAGTGGAGCCAAGATGGACCAGAGTAGCCTCAGTAGTGCCCTGGAATGAAGCAGACTGCTGGTGCAAAGGCAGGTGCTGGTGCAGTTCGGAGAACGTCTCGCCCGGCCATTTCCCTGTGCATGGTGAGGGTTTCACTGGAGCACTGTGCAAAAGCTTGGCCATCACTGTGGGTGCCTCAGACACCCTGCCCAGAGCCCAGCTGCCACACACAGCACAGCTAACAGAGCTGCAGCAGCCAGGGGTGCTCCTGCATCCCACAGCACAGGAATGTTTGACCCTCTCCGCCTTCTGGGCCTGCCTGGTTTAGTGTGCAGGTTGTGACCCATTCTTGTGACCCACTCACTGCATACAGGGTGGTTCAGTGCCTCTGACAGAGGAGTTTCTTTGTGCGCAGTGCAGAGCTGTCTTTTGATCAGCCGAAGTGCCATGCTTCTACATGCCTGCATGAAGGTGTCTTGGAAACATTCAGGCAATTTTCCTCTTCTTTAGAAGGCCCCAGCTAGCATTAAAACCAGATGGGATGAAATATCTTGGCTAGCCTGGTTGCCCAATGCAAGAAGACTTACCTCAGCAGCAAGAAGGTGCCACAAGGAAAGTTCTGGCTTTGTTATGAAGTGGCAAAATCTGGGGCTGTTCCTACTCCTACTGCACAGGCAAAGTTAGGGTTGTATCATGTCCAAGCTCTGTTTCCTGGCTTTTGTGTATTTGTGATTTCTTTGTTGCAGTAGGAACATTTTTCTCAGAGTAAGGGGGAAGCCATGGGGTATTTGTTCAGTGTCTGGATTAGGATTTTGGAGATCCCATGATCTGGTTGATACATGAAACAACTGAACCCATTCCCAGGATGCTTACTTTTGGAGAAACTCATCATGCATCCTGCCTGACTATCTGGCTGTACAGTAAGTGTAGCTTTGTGCAAACTCACATAAATATAATATTTAGAATATTTGTTTGACAAAGAGACAAATTTTTACTGCCAGTTTGCAATTGTATTGCTCTCATTTGTAAGCAGCCCCTTGCATATGTTGTTTGAGGTAAAAGAAAATGTCTTGGAATTAGGATTTTTTTTGAATTTGACTTTGGAGAGCAAGAAAGGTAGAAAAATATTTGCCTAGAGGAAG